GAAGAACTGAGGGGACAAAGATTACAAAAGCAGATACTGATGGATGCAGTGCACTTGCTTAAGCTGTAATCACAATGGAAGCTCACTCAACACAAAAGATAATAGCACATAAGAAAAAAAAAGGTTTCATGGTGGGACACTGCTAAACAGAAGAGTTCAGACACCAGTGCTGTCTATCTGTGAGACAGAAAAGCCAAATACTGATACGGTGTATTCCATTTAAGTACATACCCTTGGGACTGAACAGGGCTGTTTTTCCACTATGGAAAATGCACTTATCCAAACCTAATGTAAGCAAGCAGTGCACATTAAGTACACAGTGCTATGGTATTAATATCCTGGAACTGACAAGGTCCTTTCAATTTCAAAGCTTCTAGTAGTCAATGTCAAGGATGCTATTAGGAGACTTGAAAATCAGGAGAGAAAACAGTAATGATCCTGTAATTTTCAAGGCTTCTAATGCCAACCCTTCAATGGCTCCTTCCCCCTCACTGTGCCTAGCACAGTTCAACTGAGTACTTCCAGGGGTGGGTAGAACCTATTAAAAAAACAAACTTACAATCCCCTCACAGCCAGATCTCTTTTGCAAGCCTCTCACATACAATCACAGCACACAGTTACTTAATTCTCACCATCTCATAGGTCTGCATGGCCAGCTGCACTTTGTCATCACTATACTCTTTACATTTGCTGTAAGCATTCTGAATCTTCTTGATGTGCTCTACTCGCTGCTCTGGCAACATGCTCTTCACTGATGCAATGTATTCCGCTGCAAGACTGTCAATTTCAGCTTTCTTATCTGCAAAGCAAATAGACATCACATATAAAAAAAAATGACTGCACACATGCAATGCATTTTCTCTGCTCCTCTCTAGTACTTACATAGTTCCTAGTGCCACAGTCTCTCAGCCCTTCACAATCTGTAATGTACAAGGGTGAGTAGGAAGTAATACCTCCTAATTTTTATCTCCCAAGCACGTCATGGGCATGGAGAGTATCACATGACAAAGGGAGTCTTGATAAACATTATTCTAGAGACAGATACTATAAGCAACTATTAATATGGTACTCCTGAAAGCTTAACATTGCCACTGTATCTATCATAGAAGTAAAATGTTATGGAGTAATAAAGCCAAAAGATTAAGAAATAAAATCTCTCCAGCCATCTGAAATTATACACTTCTATTGTTGCTTTAGTATAAGACAATTTGACTACACATGACTATTATAAACATTTGCTGGCTTGATTTGTTGCTTGTTGCTTGAAAAGAACGATTCCTTTGGGAGTAAAGTTCTCCCTAGAGAATACAGTTCATACTTCTACTGTATGTGTTGGCATCTGTACCTTTACTGCACAGATGCATCCTTTTCCAGTATTAAGACTTCGTTTTTCCATGTTTTTTCCCCAACAAGGCAAGCCTGCCCTGCCCTCCACCCCACAAAGATTTGGGTTTTTTCCCTTCATGTGAAGGTTATTTATTCTGTTTATGGGAATACCTGAACACACCTTCTGTTCTCTGATCCAATTCACGCATCAACTGAAAGTTCCTCTGCAGTTCACAGGGGAGGTTTTCAATACCTGAAATACAAAGGCAAAGACTGCCATTCATTCTCCTTTCCAAAGCATAACAGTTACTACCCATTGGGCATGTCTACACGTTCATTAATGTGCTTTAGGTAATGCACATTAAGTCTAGTACCTCCATTATGAAGTACTAGAAAAATGTGCATTTGCATTAATCTATTTAAATGCTCATTAGCAAAAGAACATTTTTTGTGACACTTTAATGCTAAAATAGGCTAATATGCATTAACACATGTAGACACACCCAGTGACAGCTAGTCATGAAGATGACTAGCAACAACTATGATAACAGACACATTTAGAGTATGACTTTTTCCTATGGAAAATTTTCATACTCTTCTCTGCAGCCGAGTCACAAATGGTGCAGAGCAAATGTGCTGAATGCCTGTACAAGGCACCATTTCTACACCGCATCAATGTCAGGCTACCAGCCTATGCTTTGCATCTGCAATTCCCTGGTGACATATATTCTCTGTAAAGGGACATACAGCTCCTGTTCCCACAGGTGCCAGCACAATTCTCAAGAGGGGAGAAACAAGATCCTTTCAGGGGTGACACTCAGAGGTACCACTTGTACTTTTACAGGAGCAGGGGGTTGGGGAACTAAGTTGATGGACATATGTAAAGTTTTACGCATTTCAGGTGACAGTCCTTGTCCCGAGGGGAACCAGGGCCCCACGTAGCTGGCACCCGTGGTGCCACGGGCAGGTTAAACACCCCGCGGTGCTTGTGCCTGGAAGACCCACTACAGCCCAGCCTGCTGCAAGGAGCTGTCAGGACACGACTGCTGCAGCTGTCCAGGGCCCAGACTAGCACCGCCCCCGGGGCTGGACAGAGAACTCCACCTCCTCCCCGCGGGACGGAGGGAAGCACGTGGTTCCGCCTGCGGGGTGGTGAGCAGCCCCGCCCCGGCGCACCCTGATGACGCAACGCGCGCCTCGCGCAGAAGGCTGCTCGCAGTGTGACGCATGAGGCCGCGCCCCCGCCCTGCCTGGTGACGCACTTGCAATTCCCGCGGCAGCGGCGGTGCTTGGCGGCCCTGGGCGGGCGGGCGGCGCTGCCCCCTCAGTCCCCGCCACCGCCGCC